GGGAAGGGGCTGGAGAACCTGGAATGGCTGAGGGAGCTGGGAAGGGGCTGGAGAACCTGGAATGGCTGAGGGAGCTGGGAAGGGGCTGGAGAACCTGGAATGGCTGAGGGAGCTGGGAAGGGGCTGGAGAACTGGGAATGGCTGAGGGAGCTGGGAAGGGGCTGGAGAACTGGGAATAAGAGAGCTGGGAAGGGGCTGGAGAACCAGGAATGTCTCAGGGAGCTGGGAAGGGGCTGGAGAACCGGGAATGGCTGAGGGAGCTGGGAAGGGACTGGAGCAGCAGGAAAATCTCAGGGAGCTGGGAAAGGGCTGGAGAACCAGGAATAAGGGAGCTGGAAAGGGGCTGGAGAACAGGGAATAAGAGAACTGGGAAGGGGCTGGAGCAGCAGGAATATCTCAGGGAGCTGAGGGGGCTCATCCCGGAGAAAAGAGGGATTGGGAGAGATCTTTTCCCGTAGGTTTTTCAGGCTGTCACCCACAGGTTTTGAGGCTGTAACCCACAGGTTTTCAGGCTGTAACCTGCGGGTTTTTCAGACTGTAACCCGCAGGTTTTTCAGGCTGTAACTTGCAGATTTGTTAGGCTGTAACCCACAGGTTTTGAGGCTGTAACCCACAGGTTTGTTAGGCTGTAACCCGCAGGTGTTCAGGCTGTAACCCGCAGGTGTTCAGGCTGTAACCCACACATTTTTCAGACTGTAACCTGCAGGTTTTTCAGGCTGTAACCCACAGATTTTTCAGGCTGTAACCCGCAGGTTTTTCAGGCTGTAACCCACAGGTTTTTCAGGCTGTAACCCACAGGTTTTGAGGCTGTAACCTGTGGGTTTTTCAGGCTGTAACTTGCAGGTTTTGAGGCTGTAACCCACAGATTTTTCAGGCTGTAACCCGCAGGTTTTGAGGCTGTAACCCACAGGTTTTGAGGCTGTAACCCACAGGTTTGTTAGGCTGTAACCCACAAGTTTGTTAGGGTGTAACCCACACATTTTTCAGGCTGTAACCTGCAGGTTTTTCAGGCTGTAACCCACAGATTTTCGGGCTGTAACTCGCAGGTTTTTCAGGCTGTAACCCACAGGTTTTTCAGGCTGTGATCCCCCCCCATCTCCCCTCTCCTCCCCCAGGAACTACTTCCACCTGCCCTACCTGGAGCGCAAGCCCTGCGTGTACATCAGGAGCTGGTGGCAGGACCAGCGGCGCCGCCTCTACAACTCCAACATCATGGACAAGATCGCAGACAAGCTGGTCAGTGCGGGGGGCGCAGGGTTGGGGGGTACATCCGAGGCATGGGGGGGGCACAGGGCACAGCCTGGGCTGCCTGTGCCACCCCCTGGTCACTCAGCGGGNTAAAACTTGTCCCAAACTGAATTCAAACTTCTTCTCCCAAATTGTGTTAAAACTTGTCCCAGACAGAGTTAAAACTTCTCCCAAACTGAATTCAAACTTGTCTCAAACAGAATTAAAACTTCTTCTCCCAAATTGAGTTAAAACAACTTGTCCCAAACTGAATTAAAACTTGTCTCAAAAGAAATTAAAACTTGTCCCAAGCTGATTTAAAACTTCTTGTCCCAGACTGAGTTAAAACTCGTCCCAAACTGAATTCAAACTTCTTCTCCCAAAACTGAATTAAAACTTGTCCCAAACTGAATTCAAACTTCTTCTCCCAAACTGAGTTAAAACTTGTCCCAAACTGAATTCAAATGTGTCCCAGACTGAATTAAAACTTGTCCCAAACTGATTTAAAACTTCTTGTCCCAGACTGAGTTAAAACTTGTCCCAGACTGAATTCAAACTTGCCCCAAAAGGAATTCAAACTTGTCCCAAACTGAATTTAAACTTCTTCTCCCAAACTGAATTTAAACTTCTTCTCCCAGACTGAATTCAAACTTGTCCCAAACTGAATAAAAACTTCTCCCAAATTGTGTTAAAACTTGTCCCAGACAGTTAAAACTTCTCCCAAACTGAATTCAAACTTCTCTTAAACTGAATTCAAACTTGTCCCAAACTGAATTAAAACTTGTCCCAAACTGAATTCAAACTTCTTCTCCCAAACGGAATTCAAACTTCTCCCAAACTGAATTCAAACAACTTCTCCCAGACTGAATCAGATCCCAGGAGCCGGGCCGGGCTGGAGTCACAACCCTGTGAATTTATCCCACCTTTTTGTGTTGGTTTTTCCCCTTGAGGTAACTATGGCAACCAGGTGGATGGAGTAGAGAAGCCCGTGCGGAGGAGGAGGAAGGAGGGAGGGGACGAGGAGGAGTCGGAGCTGCTGCAGAATTCCAGCGAGGAGGAGGGGGATGAGGACGGAGAGCTGGTCTCGGTCTCCTCCTCCCCACCCATGAAGCCCCTGGTCACTGACAGGTCCGTGAACCCCCCCGAACATTCCCGGGGCATTGGAGAAAGAGGGAATTCTCCTCCCGGGATACCCTGCACAGGAACGTCCTTCATCCCCACCCAGACGGGCCCCCGAACTCCGGGCTCTGGGATCCCTTCGGGGATCTCCCCCTCGGCAAAGAGGAGCTGGGAAGGGGCTGGAGCAGCAGGAATGGCTGAGGGAGCTGGGAAGGGGCTGGAGAACCGGGAATGGCTGAGGGAGCTGGGAAGGGGCTGGAGAACTGGGAATGAGGGAGCTGGGAAGGGGCTGGAGAACCTGGAATGGCTGAGGGAGCTGGGAAGGGGCTGGAGAACCTGGAATGGCTGAGGGAGCTGGGAAGGG